ATATTTATTCACATATTATTAAATGTATTTCTCTATTAAACAATTAATTAAAAATCAAAGCCTTTATATGTAATGAAAATTTACACAATAATAAGTATTTAGAGATAAAAATTCAATCCAAAAGATATTAATATAAAAAAAAGTAATGAAAAGTTTTTATACAAAATTAAGAGATAAGTGATATCATGTTTTGTACTCTTAAATAGCGATTAAATGAATGTCTTAATATCTTTGGTATTGTTTTGCCATTTCATCCACTTTTGGATCTCTTTCTATGATTACAATCGGCTTCTGCTTGAGTTTGTCGTCACTTTTTGGCACAACATCTTCGCCGTCATCGGCGGTCACGTCAGACAAAAGCATCGATTCATTCAGAATCTCATTCAGACTCAAGTCATCAAAACCATTGACAATCAGCGGCTGATTCTCGAGATCTTGAGACTCCCATTGCCTGTCAGTTGAGGGACACAACCATCGCTCCAATGGCTTGTCTTCGAGTCTTTGAAGTGAGACATCGAGTGGTCGACAGGCGATAGCAGTCAGACGTGACCTCCAATTCAATGCCGTCTCTCTTCTCAAGAACTGTTCTCTGCGTTGCCTTCGAGTGAAGCAATAATTCATTTTCTCTCGACTTAACTCCTGTCCCAATTCCCAGTCCTTTGACGCCATCTCTATATTCTTCGCCGACCATTGATTATAGCGATTGCCCGACGAATAGGACATCAATACCTCATTCTTCGGGTATCGTATGGGAGACCACTTCGTCTCCTCTCGTGAAGAATGTCCACTAATCTCAAGAGTTTTAGCCAAAGTCTCAGACAATTTTGACGAGAATTCAAAATTGGACACAAATTTCAAGAGTCGTTTCTTTTGCTTCTCATTTGCCATCTCTTCAGTCATCGGTTTCTTAGGCTTTGGTTTAGGCGTAACTCTCTGTACGAGTGTTTGCTTCCGTTTGCGACCCCTTTTGACGACACTATTGGTGGCAATCGATTGATGCGATAATCCATTGACTGTTTCGATGGACTCTTTGTCGGCAACTGAGACACGACTTCTGTTCACTATTCTTAAGGGAAACGTCTGTTTCAACGATTCCTTTGACTTTTCCGCCAATTCTTGCCTCGAAATCAAATTCATGTTTCGCATGAATTCTGGGATTTCAATGGAATTGATGTCTCTTTCAACGGGTTCTTCAGTTTGAGAAGAGTTGACAACATATTTATCGTAATAATATTTGTCATATCTCTTGATCTGTTCTTCGCTCAGCTTTTTAATGACAAGCAATGGCTTACACTTCGGACCTAATGTTTGCGCGCAATTGTGGCCAAAATTCAATAAATTCAACCATTCCTTGCTTTTAGGACTCAATTGATTAACTTTTGAATCCATTCTTCTTCTCATTAAAAGCTAATAATCTAATGATTTGTGTCTAAAATATGATATGAAATATATCTTAAGATTAGTTTTTGTGACATATTTTTGCATTTTTATTGAAATTAATGTAAAGATTATTTGTGGCGCAAAATGAATGATGAGTTTGTAATTAAAATATAAACAAGATTCACACAGCGATGCTATACGTTAGCCACAATTAAGGTATTGCTCAAAGAATAGATTAGCATTATTTACAGATTTAATACGAGTCCATAGGATTAGCATTAGTATTCATGAAGACCGTAGACTAAACATTGCCATAGACTAGGCCTGGCCAGTCTTTTTTAGTATATCACAAGTACACATTCACAGTATGCCATAAAAAGGTGGCGCAATGGTCAGTAAAAAGTTTATGTTTGTCAGTATTAAACGAGAAACATTGCGTGAAGGTTAACCTAATAGTTTCTCACCCATTTTTATAAGTGGTTGGCTTTCAGTCTATCCACAAAACGTCATTTAAAGCAAAATTTAATTATTAAATACACATTTTAATTAGATATGTGATATTGTTTGCGATTATATAATTTTTAATCCAAACTTTGAAACATAATTTTAATGTTGTGTATGACAATTGGCTTTTCTACTCCAAGTCTCTAATAGAGACTTGACTGACCACGAGTACCATAGACCTAACATTGTAAAGTGTTAGGCCTTTATATGTACTGATAAGTTATCACTGATAAGTTATCAGTGATAACTTATCAGTGATAATAACATTGCAATACTGGCAATATTTTGACAATATTCTTGTAATATTGTGTCGTACTGTCAGACCAAACCCAAAATTCAAGTTTTTCAATCAATACTTCACATCACAGATGGTATTGTAGTGAAGTAGTGGACACACAGTCCTGTCTATGCATACAAAACATACGCAAAGTGAAGGTAGAGTGAAGGCAAGGGTTGGCGGATATGAAACAAACCACAGAATCACTGTTTAATGTGTAGTGTTGAGTAAATGTGTTTCCCTAACCCATGCCCTCAAAGCCTGGCCTCCTTTCCCTTCTCTTCCTTATCCACACATTTCCCCAATTTTCCCAATAGAGAGCACAGAAACAAGTGATCGCCTCCGGGAGGCCTCAAAGCTGTTGCGGTTTGAAACCAACCCTCGGACTCAACAACAGACAAATTGTGCGAATAGACACAAACATCTATATTCAGGAAAACTTTAAACTAACTCAACCACATGCTATTCATGGCTTTATATACAGATCACTGCTACGCATACATTAGTAAGTGAGTGGAAAACTACCAGTAAAAGGCGAAAGATTATTATGTGTGATATACGCGAGATCTGAATACCTAACATGTGTGCAAACGTATGCTGCAAATGGCAATACAATAAACATGTGTGTATACTAAAAGAGTCCAGGTTGAAATAAAGCGTTTTTAATATAACCTGCTTATGGGTTGGTATGTATGGGTAGAGTGTGGCCACGAGAAGGATATTCAACCATCAAATCGTGCCAATGGCCACAAACACTCGCGTTTTTGCCAAATTTATGATCAGATATACAGTGCTTAATGCATAGTATTTTTAACCACAATTCAGCTATGAATAATGTGGTTTATAGGATCGTTAGGCCCCCACTCGGCCCCCACTTTATGGGATTTAACATGGAATTCCAGCTTAAGTCTATGGCTATACTTTCATTTCATACTAATTTCTCACTGCATAGAGATGTAAGAAAATAGCAATAAATTTGGTCCGGCGTTGTTCACAAATTACATTCGCACTTGGGTGGAGGGGAGTCGACGAGAGGCGTCGTAATATGTGAACGACGCCTTATAACTCGCGTGTTTGTGGCCATTGGCACGATCTGATGATTGAATATCCATTTCGTGGTCACACTCTACCCATACATATCAACCCATATTGAAACAGAAACAACCCATTCAGTAGTACCCTATTAAGCAGGTTCAGAGCTGTACCGGAACAGGTGTTACAGTAATGCAATAAATACATGCAATATATCAAATATATCATTGCGTTTTAATAGTATAGCATAACATATCAACTAAACTAACATTTTACTAATGATTTATAATGAAAAACAATTATTTTTTGTTAAATTTCATGCAAATTAGTATTGAAATACTAGAGCCAGAGTCGGTTCAGAGAGCTCGGCTTCGGCTCCAAAATTTCAATCACTAATGTGTGCAGAAATTCTCCGATAAAAACATCCAAAAAGTAACCTAATTATAGCCTCCCATCACAACAACCAGTCAAACCACTCACACCACACATCCCTTTCCTCCCTGTCCTCTATTGTGTACACACATCGGACACACACTAACTCTCCACTCGTTTTGTATATCAATTAAAACAATTAAATTATTAATAAAAGGCTTTTGAATCAAACCCGAGTCTACCATTCATTGAGAGCGCAAACGCTCGCTATTTTTCAAAGTAAATGTTTGTCTAAATTATAGCATTGTTTGTGAAAACACTTTTAAATACAAGAACGTCAAACACTTGCAGCCATTTGTTAATCAATTCATTAATTAAATAATTAGTAAATGAAATGAGACTTACGTTTAGATGCGTTGACAACCGTTTGAGAGAAAACGACACAAAAACACAAATCAATGACAACTGTTTTGAATCGACAACTCATACAAAATGACTGCAGTCTTGTGTCGATCGCATCTCTTATACTCTTTTGTGAGTCGACGCAGAGTTGACTCAATTCAACGAACACTCAATGTATGGAAAAGTAAACACTGTTTATAACTCAACATTCAGTCGTTATACTGTGTGTCACATGAGTTGTATTGATTGCAGTCACGCTTTAATGCCATTCAAAAGTGTTGTTTACAATGATTGGTCATATGTGTGCGCATGCGCTCAATCACTGCACAACTTGTGAGGGATTGTATTGTTATTACAAGACGTCAACACTTATTGTCTTATCTCTGACTCGAAGACCGATTGAGATATGAATGTGTGTCCAAACAGACCGTGAAATTCATATTCACGACACAAACACTTGTTATTTTTGATGACAATTTTAAGCATAAAATAAGTGCAGAAATATGTGATGTAAAGACTGTGTCCACACATATCACTGCCTTTGAGATGAAATGTATTGAGATATGAGCTGTAGTTTGTGTGTAATGAGAGGTATTGAGTGGTCCTATAGTTGGGAATCAATGTCTTGCAGTGGAGTCTCTGTCTAATGGTTGGGAACTATAGTTTGGTTTTGAGTGTTTAGGTATACCTGAGTTGGGGGCGAATCTAAGGCTAAACTCGCTTTATTTGATACGTCTTCTGAACTGAAGTAATGATTATAACTCTTATTTCACATTTCTGTCAACTCTTCCACAAACAGACAATAAATTCACTTCAATTATTCATATATAAAATGGTTTAATTGAATGCAAGTATGAATTAGTTATACAATTAGAAGTCTTACAACATTACAAGTGTTGGACCTCTCATTTGAGTCCCTAATTACTGACTGAAGTAATAATATTCAAATCATACGATTGACTGCAATCCAAGAACCGCTTCCACTGGAAAGCGCAGACTCCTGCAGTTGCGGAGCGCTCGCCGACCGGTCGTATTATTGGTGCGGAGAGTCGGCCGCCGGTTGGACCTCCTGTCCGCCTCTACGGCCACCACTACCGCCGGTCAACACGTGACCGATGGTGTGTCCGACCGCTGAGCTGATAGCGAAGCCTCCGGTGGTGGCCATCATTTGGCCCATAAGGTCGGGCACTTGCGGTGTCGGGGCCGCCATCGATGTTGGCTGCGGAGCGACGGGCGTCGGAACATTGCTCTGTACGGGTGCCGCTCACTGAACGGTCTCTGAGTCGGTGGCGGACTCGACGCCCGCATCGGTGGCCTCCGTGTGGGAGACGGAGACGAACGACCTCTTGTTGGGGTTATGTATTGTTTCACAAAAGTAATATACAGTAATACAGTCAACTACTCGATCATATCAACCAAACTCTAAAACCCAAATACACACCACATAGACATAATGTTAAAATAATCTCTATGCTGTCAACATCTGTGTTGTCAACAATCTATCATATCAACAATCAAAGATATTTTTTAAAAACTTGTTTAAATTTGTTTTAAATCTATTAAAATGGTGTGCATTTCGTATAGAGATATCCATTGAATTGCACGCATCGATGCATTTGTGAAAAGTAGTGTTTTGCGTGTAATTGTGTTTAGCTGTCGATGGCTTCAATGTCTTAAGGTTTGCACATCTGGTTCTCATCTGAGGCTTAAACTCGAAGAACTTGTGATCACATCCCAAACCACCGAATGCGTCAAAGCGTGCAATTCATTACAATCTAAGAAATTAATCTAATTTTAATAAATATAAAGACAATTTAATTGATATTTTAAGTAATAATTTTTATATTTATTGATCGGATTGAAAACCCCGAAGAAACTGCCACTTTTGGGGTAAACATAGGATTACGACATTATTTTCATTATTTAACTCCACATCCATTGCAACAAAAACCGAGTTTTGTAACTATTAGATCATTACAGGAATTGCACGCATTTTTAAGCATATATACAACCCTTTTATCATGTATTCCTATGAGACGGTCGTTGTATTTGTATTTGACGGGTGAACATTTGCTTGAATTATTAATTTTCAAACACTAAACACTATTGGACAATACAAACTCAGTTATTCAAAGAAAATGTCATAAGAATACATCAAATCATAATTAAAATGTTTGTCAATTGTTTTTAAAAATTTGTTACAATTAGGTTACATGTTTCATTTCGTATACAAAGAAGTAAATCATTAAATAGTTTAACAAATAAGTCAACACAAACAAAGCACCGGCAAAAGTAACCATTTCCTCAGCTGTTAATAAACAGTGATTTAATTTTTGATTTATAATTTAGGAAAACTATTTAATAAAAGTTTATTGAAAGCCATTACAATATTTAATTATTACAATATTATTTGCATTTCAATAGTTTATAAAAGTTTCATTGAAAACTTCTAAACGTCCATAAATGACAACAACATCTGTAAACCTTTTATGAGAAAAGTTTTGAACAAACATTAATTGTATAAATTTTATTGACGAAACAGCGTATATAATAATGCATACATTTTATTGTAAAATAGAAATTAATATTTCATATAAATTCTAACAATTTAATCGATAAAACAATTATATAATAAGAAAGTGTTTCAAATCAATGACTGTTTCGACTCAACGGACTCTGGATTTAATGGTTTAGTCGTATCGGTCACTGGTTTTGGTAGTGTCTGGACATCGGATCCCCCTTTTGATGGTGTTTTCAGTTGGATTGGATTGACTTTCGGTTGTATTTGAATATATTATGTATAAATGCGTACAAATTTTCTCTATAATTTTTCAGTAATTTTTTAATTAACAGATTAAATATAAATGTAATTCATTAAATATTTATACAAATTAAGTACAACAATCATGTTATCAATGATGGCCTAAAAATATTTACAAAAACTTTAAACATAACATTGGATTATATATTAGAGACTAATAATTATGAAATCAATCACATATTGAAATATCTATTTAACATGGTCAAATTCACATTTTACATTATAAAAGCACTATTCACTAATCAATGAGTTATTCAAAAATTTTAATCAAAAACATATCATTAATATAAAATTTATTCAACAAAATATTTATCTAATAACAAAAAAATAATTGCTTTGATTAAATGAAATTTAGACAAAAATAAGTGATATTAACGTTTGGTCTCATTTGCGAACCGCTTTCTTCATGAGTCCCGAGAGGCCGGACTCCGACTCCCGGAGCGGACACAGGAAATGGTCGCCAATCTTGCGATTCGTGTGTCCATCGACTCCACAGTGACTGCACTTTCTTTTGCTATAATGAGAGCTGTTCTCAAAGCGTATGTACGGACAGCACGTCTTCCACGTGTGGTTAAACACGTCATAACTGATGTCATTGTTGTGCCGGTCTTTGAACGCCGCGTACACTATCTTCACGTTATGGTCGGCCGACAGTATCAACGCTTTCGGATCGGACGGGTCTGTGTGTCCGGTGGACCACCTCTTGGCGTACGACTTGATAAACTCAATGATCACAGACTTGTCGTTCTTGGCCTCGAATGTGATGCCCGGACAGTGAGTTCGCCACACGTTTCTGAACGTCTCGTAACTGATCCGTCGTTCGCTATAATTGTCCAAAAAGTGTCTGTAAATGGATTTGACGGAGTGCTCGGCGGTGAGCACCCAGTGGTCTGACGGGGCGTTAGGGTTGCGGGCGTTTTGGTGGCCGTACTCTCGGATGAAATGGAC